TCCCTTAACCCAAGGCAATGTTTAATTTGACTATTAAAGAAAAATACTTCATTTAAATTCTTTATTATAAAAGTAACATGTTTTTTTATAAAGCATAATCAAAACAATCAGAAGTGCATAAAATAGAAAGTGAAAGCATCCCTACATGGTTAAAGTTTGATACATGGCATTTTAGATTCTTACTACGTATATATATATAAATGATTTTTATATATATATATATTTTTAAATGATTCATGTTATATATATTGCTCTGTAACTTGTGTTTTCTCCCCATTTGGGTGTAGTTTGTGGACATCTTTTCATGTTAGTTCACAGAGTACTGCCACTTTTTTTTTTTTTTTTTTTTTTTTAGCAACTGCAATATTTCAAGGATGTGGTATAATTTACTTAATAGGCCCCTACTCATGGACACTTGGATGGTCTTTCAAAGGGTAAATAGATGTTCACAAGTAGGACAGAAAGGGACAAGGGACAACTCCATCTGAGTTGTCAGCATGTGTTTGGGCTGGAGGGTAGTATATGCTTCTAGATAGCAATTCAGTATCAATCAAATACCCATTACGGGGGGCCAAGGGAAGAGAGGCCAGCTGAGGAAAGCGTCACAGACTACTCGGAGGAGTTGGGATGTTTTCCTGCAGGTGGTGATGGCCAAGGGTGGGGGCACTGAAGGATTTTGATAGAGATCAGATTCATATATTTCCAAGAATACTGGGACAGCTATGGGTAGATGGCACTGAAGGAAAACTAAAGACAGAGAGCCCATCTGATCTGGGAAACTACTCCACTGATCTGGGCCAGAGAAGATGGGTAGAGCTGAGCAGCACAGGGCCAAGGTCATCGGCACTGAGAGATTCAGGATATATTGGCAGGAGGGTGGTAAGATGTGGAGAATGGTTGTAGGAAGGGAAGGAGAGGAATGGAATCTAACATCTGAATCTAGCCTAGGAGACTGGCTGGGTGTTGCTGCGGTATCCAAGATGGGAAAAGAGGAGGAAGAGGGAAGTTAAGATGCTGACAAGTTCAATTTTGTACTGTCTTCCCTTTGTTTTCTATCTCCCTCCTGATACCTCGTTAAAGGAGGAAACCACCCTTGCTGGCTTTTCTGTCCCCTCAGATTATGCCTGATGATCCCTGATGTTAATGACTTGACCAGCACCCCCAGGAGCACTCAGAGCAAGTTGGGTTTTAGATGTATGACTGTGGGTTATTTAAGCCTTAGATTTTCCTTCCTCACTTTTATTTAAAGGACAGTATGCTATCACCAGTTATCAGTTGTGCATATACTTGAAGTTTCAAAGTTTGAAGTGCTGACAAAAACTTCTCCTTGTTGTAGGGTGAGGAGAGGTCTTCAGAAGGCTTGGCCTGAGTGGTCACAGGGGCACCAAGAGCCCAGGACCACTTGGCTGGTTTCAGAGCAGCTGGGGCAGGCCGGAAGGCACACACTCCTATTTGCTTAGTTACAATCAGCAACGACTTCTTTGTGTAACATGGTAATGAGGCCATTAGGAGAGGCTCACCTGAAGTGCAGCCTTGTGAGTCCAAGGTAATTAAACACCTCCTGAACGAAAGCAAAAGGCCAAGGAAGGTTAAGTGAGGAATAATCTGCGGCACAGGTGGCCCAAGGGCTTTGAGGAGACAAAAGAGAGACACCGGCTTGTACTGTTTCAAAGGATGGAAATGTCACCCTCGTCCCGGGAAAGGCAGGACTTTTATTATTTGGAGGGTGGGAAGTGGGCAATATTTTTAACATTTTAATAAAGCATATTTCTTTTTCACATTGCTATTTCAAGTTGGAGGTCTATGACAGACTGCCGGGGCACTGAGTGGCCTGTGCTGCTTCTCGTGAGCTCTCACCACTGTGGTGCTGGGGCGCATGTGTGCCAGAATCGGGGGGGCGGGGGGTGGTCACGATAAACCGAATATTTCCACCCAGGTGTCATGACAGACTCCAGGCTGCTTCCAGAGGAAAATTGTTTTCCTTGGCCCACCTCTGAGTGGAGATGGGGTGGCTGCCCCCTCAACGCATGTTCCCGTCCCTTCTGACTTAGCCAAGAAGTAGATCATCCCACCTTCACTCACTAGATTGTCCAAGCATGTGGCACGCCCCTTGAGCAGCAGCACAGGATTTCTTCCCCTACGCTCAGTAAACTCGGATTATTTTTATTTTAAAAGATCTGGCGACAGAGGATTTTGGCCATTCGGTTTCTTGCCTCAAAATCTCTGCTGTCCCCACATAAAAGCTTATACATGAATGTTTTGAACAGCATTAGTAATAATAGCCAAAAAGAAACAACCCAGATGCCCATCAGCTGATGAAGAGATAAAATGTGGTCTTTCCATAGGATGAAATATTATTCAACTGTGGAAAAGAAGGAAGTACTAATAAGTGCTACAATGTGGATGAAACATGTTTATAATGAGCAGTATGCTAAGTGAAAGAAGCCAGTCACAAAAAAAAAAGACCACCTATTGTATGATTCCATTTGTAGGAAATGTCCAGAATAGGCAAATTCATAGAGACAGAAAGTGGATCAGTGGTTACCTAGGACTGGGGTGAGGGAGGAGGGGAACAGGATGAGTGGGGAGTGAGAAGTACCTGCCAATAAGATGGGTTTTCTTTCTGGGGCGATGGGAGTGTTCTGGAGTAGATTATAGTGATAGTTCTACAGCATTGTCACTATCCTAAAACTACTGAATTATAGATTTTAAATGAATGAATTTTATGATATGTAAAATATATCTTAATAAGCTATTACAAACCCCTTGTCAGAAGCTTAGTAATAAGAAATAATGTCCATGGAGCATTTCAAGAGTATATGTAATCCGGGCTTCCCTGGTGGCACAGTGGTTGAGAGTCCGCCTGCAGATACAGGGGACACGGGTTCGTCCCCCGGTCCGGGAAGATCCCACATGCCGCGGAGCGGCTGGGCCTGTGAGCCATGGCCACTGAACCTGCATGTCCAGAGCCTGTGCTCCGCCATGGGAGAGGCCACAGCAGTGAGAGGCCCGCATACCGCAAAAAGAAAAAAGAGTATATGTAATCCATCCCAGTTTCTTAATATTTTTAGGTTCACAGGCACCTTTAGGAACCTGAGGATAGCTATACAGCCTATACCCAGAAAAATGATCATTACTCATTCATATTAAAAATTTGTAGATGATTCATGGACCACCTGCATCTAACTTCCTATTTCATCTTTAAATTTTACCCTAAATTTTATCCTTAAATAATGTCAGGCCCGTTAGGTAGTCCTATATCTAAGCCCCATACAGATTCCTGAAATGTTCTCTTCATATGTCACCTACATGCTTAAAAACAGTCATTAGCTTTACCTTTATCTCAAAATGAAGGAAAATATTTCTTAATGTATTCACAGCTCTTGACCTCTGCCTTTCCCTCTATCCTCATTTTAAGCCATATTCTCCATTCTCTCCACTGAAGCCACAGTTCTCCCTAGTCTCTGAACTCCTCCTCACTACAGTGTCTTTGCAAATGCTGATCCCCGTGTTTGGTACACTGTTCCTTCCCCTCTTTGCAAGTTAATTACTTCAGCTCATCCTTCAGATCTCAGTCTAAGCCTGTTTCTCTCCGGGAAGCCTTCCTTGACCTCCTTGGTGAGCTCTATCACAGGCTTGTCATGGTAGCAATGTCATATGTATTGGTATTTTCTTCACGAGAATATAAGTTTAATGAGGGGAACACCCTTGTCTGGTTTTGCTCACCATTGTATCACCATTGACTCAAGGCTACCAAGTTGCACAATTCCAGGGACACTTTTCACATGGAACATAGTGTGAGTGGTGTGCCCAGAAGTTGTGCAATATGGCTTCCTGAGATGGATGGCATATTGGAAACAGACCAGGAAGCTTAATGTAGTCTCTGACATTGAGGGCAACAACCGTCATGTCACACAATCTTTCCTACATTGAGGACTCATAGGAAAAAATCTCTTTTCATTCTCACTTTCAGGAAATTTTGTGTTCATGTGTGCAACTGCTTTGGACCCAAAGAATCTCACAACTTCTCATGTTCCCCTTTTTGCTTTGCCATGACTTCTGTCTATTTTGTTTTAATCTGTTGGGTGCATATCTGTAAGCTACATAAGTGTGTTTCTGTAAGTCTATATAATGATTATTCCTTTAGAATATGAGGTTTATAATAATATATTATACATATTATATATACTTTATATATATTTAATAAATATATAATTTATAGTACATTTAATAAATACATATTTAGAGTATGAGGTGTATTATAATCTGTTATAAATAAGCCATTTATTTCTAATATTTGTAAGTAATCTGAAGAGGAAATGGAATTGGAACTAAAAAAATTTGTGTAGTTTGGGCTCAGATTATAAGACTTCAATTAATATTCCAACTTGGTCACTTCTTGGGTTTGTTACTAGGCATGTAATATAACCTCTCTCAGACTGTTTCACCCTTGTAAGATGGGAGCACAATCCCTTTCCTACAGGATTGTTGAAAGAATTAAGTAAGAAAATTTATGTGAAAGCAATTAACCTGGCACATTGAAACTGCTTAGAAAGTGGTTTTGTTTTTGTTTTTATTAGATACTCCCTAATAGGAGCAAGATTTATCTAAATTTCAAAAACCTGCCCCAATGCTGAATGTGTGTTTGTTCTCCCAGCAGTTGATGTGTCAAATCCATCCCCATCCTGGGGGTTCTCTAGAGCTCTGTGTGTGCTGGGTGTAGCCAGCCATCCTCCTCCGACCCTGCCCTCAGCCTCTCTCTCCTTTGTGTCACCAGATCTCTTCACTGAAGAACCGGCTGAAGAAGGTCTCCACAACAACTGGCGATGGTGTGGCCAGAGCCTTCCTCAAGGCCCAGGCCGCTTTCTTCGGCAGCTACCGAAACGCTCTGAAAATAGAGCCGGTGAGTAGCTTCTTGGCATGTCACGAATCCATGTTTGGTCAGGGCCACAGGAAACCTGCTATTCATCTGGTTGTTGAATTCACCAAAAGAGGTTGTGTGTGTGTGTGTGTGTGTGTGTGTGTGTGTATTTGAGGGCTGGGGGAGTGTCCTCCCCTCGAGCTACCTCTTAGCACAAGGAAGCCGAGCTGCCCTGTATGAAGCACTCTCTGCTCCTGTGAATGTTAGGGCCCCTCCCCTCCCTGGTCAGTAGCACCCTCTGTGGGTCACAGTGCTCAGCACTGCACACACACCTGCTCTCACTGAGGAGTCCAGTAAGCCTGTGAGGTAGCAGTGATCATCTCCACTTGACAAATGGGGAAACTGAGGCTCACAGAAGCAATGACTTGCTGACCAGTGGAGGGGCCAGGTAGGTCGGCCCAGTGCCCATGCTTTCCCACTGTGCCTCAACACCCTTTTCCTGCACGGGGACCTCTACTACACACTTGAGAAAACAAGGCATCCAGGGGGCTCACTTCTTAGAGGTTCCCAGAGTGGTCTTGATGTATTGACTACAAAGTATACTGAGGACTGGGGAATAATGTCTTCTGCCTCCATGGCCCTTCAACCTTTCTGAGCCTCTGTTGCCTCATCCATGAGGTGATTAGTTATAGTGTGGATATGAAGACACCAGGTCATCCCTAAAACCAAAGAAGCTACCAGCTCTCCCAGCTTCAGTGAGAAGCTTTCATCGGATATCTGCCTCCTCGTAGCCTCTTGGCCAAGGAGAATGGAGAAATTGGCCCAGGGACCTGGGTCGCTGCATAGGAGAGGACATTGGAGGGGACCTTGCTGACAGTCCTTTTCTCTAGGGAGCACGGAGCTCCCTTCATCCTGAACAGGCGGAGATGGCAGCCACACCCAGCCTAGTCACAGTGGCTGTGAGGGACCAGCCCAGGTCGCACTGCCTGTAGGTCAGGATGTTTGTTTTTGTTTTAACCCATAGCATTTTATTAAATTAAATGGCAGAAGATGAGTAGATATCAGGCAGTGCATTTCATGTGCAGACTCTGACAGTGAATCTTGACTGTGCTTCCTCATCAGCCACAGTTTTACCTTGCTAAGTACTTTTTCACTATTATGACTCCATTGCGTGTGTAAGTGAAGCACAGAGTGATAGCAAACACCTTGTTTTCCCTTCACCCAGGGCGCATGCTCTGTGAAGTGGCTGGGGCAGTGGCTGCTCAGGGAGCAGCAGCCTAATGCCACCTTGTTCCTTGTCTTCCATCCAACACTTGGGCCTGACTCGCTAGGCTGCCTCAGCTTCAGGCAATGTCATGGTCACATAATAGAAGGGATGCACTCTCTTTGCTTCCTAAGAAATACTTCCCTTAGGTCCTAAAAAGCCCTTCAGCTTAAAGCAAGTTTCTCACATCCTGCTTGTCTCCAAGACAGATGGCTCTGATTCTTTGTCCTGACCTTGGGCCCATCCAAACCAGTCAGGTTCAGTGCTGTTTTGAGAGCTGCTATAATTCAAGGAAAATTCTGTCTTCTTCCCATCTTTAAAGTGAGAATGGGACAATCAGTCCTTTCCTTAGGCTGCTGGGAACTGATAGACATGAAGATTCCCACTCTTACAATGACATCATTGTTGTCATGTATACGTCTAGAATCCAGAGGCTGTTGAGTCTGGTACATATTGCTGGGTATATGATCCGGGCAAAAGTTGCTCCTCCAGAGAAGTTTATGGTTGTACTTGCACTTGGCTCTCAAAGGCATCGGACTTAAGGGTGGAAGTCCTGGAGTTTAAAGCCTGGCTCTGTACTTGGGCACTTAATCTCTCTAAACTTCAGCTTCTTCACTGTGAAATGAGAATAAGCATACCTATCGTTCTGCATTTCCAGATGGTTATAAGGAGCTAGTGAGCCATAGAACCTCTCATAGGAAAGCTGAAACTTGGAAAAAGAAAGACAGCAGCATCCCTTCCTGTGGTGGGCATGGGGTTATCTGAGTGAGCAAAGGCTTGGAGGCAGGACCCTTCATGGCCCCTTTGTCTGGAGTCATGGGTTTGGGTGGGGAGATGGGGCTGCAGGAAAGGTTGGAGCCAGATTTGACAGAGCCTTGGATGGTATGCTAGGAGTGTGAACAGAGATGAGGTGTGACTGAAGTCATGTTTGACCAGTAATCCAGTGCTGGACTGAAAAGGAAACTGGAAGCAGAGACCGGGGGACAGCTGGGGAACTCAGAAGAAAGCCCTCCAGTGGTTACACCAGGAAAAGGTACCACAAAGAAGAAATGACTAGATGAGTCTAGAAATAGAAAAAATATGGGAGATGAGGGGCAAGAAATGTCAAAATATCTCCCAAGATTTGGATCAGGAAGAGAATGATAATGCCCATAGTAGAAAAAGGGAAAGCTTGAAGTGAATGTATCCCCAGTAGCAGATTTATAATGATAAAAACATGGAATGGACTAAGTGTCCATAATGATAAACAACTGGTTAAGTAAATTAAAGTATATCCATATGATAGAATATTATATAGCCATTAAAAGTAGCATTTTGAGGATAGGCTGATGAGTTTGGCTGTAAACATGGTACATTTCATTGAATTTTAGCTGTCATTCCATCATAAGATGTACCACTACTGCATGTTATCATTAAGAAAGGGTGCTGCCAATTATAATTGAAGGATGCCGTCAATTCTAAGACATCCAGATTTCTGAGATGTTAAAATGTGAAGAAATTTGTGTCTTAGAATCAGTGAAATAAGGCAGACTTGTTGTGCTTTGGTCTGATTTATCTGTACTAGAATGGCTTTTTTCTGTAAGGCCAAGAGGGAAGCCAGAGGGCCTGAAAGTTTCTGACCAAGCCTCACCATGTTATCTAGATGGTTTTTAAACCATAGATTTAATTATAGCCAATTTTCCTCATCTAAAAAATGGAATAACAACACTTCCAATGCCAGATTGTTTGTGAGATTAATTAAAATAATGACTGCACAGTGCATGTGAGCTCAAGAAGGGGTCAGGGGTTTTAGAGTCAGGCCACATGGTGGGGGTGGTGCATGGGGAACGGTGACTAGGTGAACCTGCTTGGGTGACAGGCAGCACAGTGCTGAGGGGATAAGGGGCCACATTGTCTTTAGGTGTTTCTCTGATTATTTAAAAAAAAAACAAAAAGCAAAAAAAACCCTGCTCTTGGTTTTAAAAAATAAAAAGGTTTAAAGTAACAGGACTAAGGACTTCCCTGGTGGCGCAGTGGATAAGAATCCACCTGCAGTGCAGGGGAAATGGGTTCGAGCCCTGGTCCAGGAAGATCCCACATGCCAAAGAGCAGCTAACAACTATTGAGCCTGCACTCTAGAGCCCGCAAGCCACAACTACTGAGCCCGCGTGCCACAACTACTGAAGCCCACGTGCCTAGAGCCTGCGCTCCACAACAAGAGAAGCCACCACAATGAGAAGCCCGTGCACCGCAACGAAGAGTAGCCCCTGCTCGCCCCAACTAGAGAAAGCCTGCACGCAGCAATGAAGACCCAATGCAGCCAAAAATTAAATTAAATTAAATCTTTTAAAAAATAAAGTAAAGTAACAGGCCTAGAAATGAGAAAATACCCATAATCCTACCATCTGGAGTTGAGATAACATGTTAACATGTTTCTACCAAGGTTCTAGGGTTTGGGGGGGGGTGGTTATTTTGTTTTGTTTTGTCTGTTTGTTTTTGAGCCTGTTTTCCTCATCTTTTTTTAAAAATTTTTATTGGTGTATAGTTGATTTATAATGTTGTGTTAGTTTCAGGTGTACAGCAAAGTGACTCAGTTATACATATACATATATCCACTCTTTTTAGATTCTTTTCCCATATAGGCCATTACAGAGTATTGTGTAGAATTCCCTGTGCTATACAGTAGGTCCTTATTAGTTATCTCTTCTATATACAAGGGGGAGGGGGGATAAGTTGGAAGATTGGGGTTGTTTTTGTTTCATTTCGGTTTGGGGTTTTGATTTTTTTACTTTTAGTTAGTTGAGATATTCCTGGCAAAGCAATCCAGTTCCCTGTTACTTAGTTTTGTCTTTTAGTGTATCGTAAGCATTTTTCATATCATTATAAAAACTCTTCTTTTTTTTTTTTTTTTTTTTTTTTTTTTTTTTTGGTTGGGGGGCCC